CTGGAGGCCATATTTGGGTGTCGACCATAAAATTAACCTTGAGGATGTTGCAGTTTGGACTACAAAAACAACAATCATTAGGTTTACTACTGTGGAGATGCACTACCGTGTACAACTACAATTTGACGCACAACAACAATTCCCAGATCCACCTACGTGTTTGGGACAATGGCATCAATTAAGAGTCGATGCCCAATGGAATTATAAGGATTTGAGAGACTTCGCTAGGGATACATGTCGTTAATGGAAGTACCGACACCAACTGACCATAAATGAACCTATCATGTCAGAGGATGCTAGACCAACTGAAAATTATATGAATTGGCATACATCGGTTTCAATAATATTTTTTGTGTCTCACTCGAGATATTTAGTCAACCCACGACAACAAGCTTAAACATCATAAGCCCAACAACCAACCCCACAATATTATCAAACTTAACATTGTCAATCAACCTAAACTCAACAATCAATCCCACAATATTACGAAACCACATATATCCAAATCTGCGACCAATTCATGCTACACACCAAACACAAAACCAAGAACAGATCCATATCGCTCCAACCATATGTTGCCACCAAATTTTACGATAACACCAATGACACATATGATACCACCACATCCCACCATAACACCCAACCAATGTGCAGCCAAACATCGTGCCACCAAAGCATCCAAACATGACACCGTCAAAGCACTCAATCAACACATGTCTTTCAAACACCACAAGTTGCTTCATTTCCAAAATGGTTCAATGTCTCAATTCAACCAACCACTCCGCCCACACGTAACCCAACTAACACGATCAACCTACGACAACATGGCACTAGTGCATAAATGACTTTTTACATCGGGTGAAATTGACTTTTTACATCGGTTCTGGGTCCGATGTAAAGTCAGGCGATATAGTAAATCAGGGACTTTTTACATCGGTTCTGGGACCGATGTAAAAAGTCCCTTTTTTACATCGGTTATAATATCAGAACCGATGTAATAACCTGTTATTATGCACATTTTTTAAAAAATTGATCCAGTTTTTTACATCGGTTGGAAGTAATACCCGATGTAAAAAGTCCCTTTTTTACATCGGTTATAATATCAGAACCGATGTAATAACCTGTTATTATGCACATTTTTTAAAAAATTGATCCAGTTTTTTACATCGGTTGGAAGTAATACCCGATGTAAAAAGTCCCTTTTTTACATCGGTTATAATATATGAATCGATGTAAGAAACAGTTATTATGCACATTTTTTAAAAAAATTGATCCAGTTTTTTACATCGGTTGGAAGTAATACCCGATGTAAAAAGTCCCCAGTGACGCGACTTTTTACATCGGTTATTATCCCCAACCGATGTAAAAAGTCCCTTTTTGAAAGTTTTTACATCAGTTTTTACTAATAACCGATGTAAAATGTATGAAATTTTTTTGGAATAGATTATTTATTTTCTGGATGTTTCCCTGTACAAATATAATTTGTACCCATTTTTTCATATTTTTCCAATATCACACAGACTATATTTATGTCGCTATATAGATTTCATAGCTTTCCAACATCACATATATCACATCTAGGTCGATGTTTTCATATTTTTCACAACAAACTTACAAATTGAACAATTGTATTGCAAACTTGTATTGTATTACAACAAACAAACTTACAATTACAAATTCTTCACAAAATATACAACAATATTCAACTATTTATAAGTCTTTTTTCAAAACTTACAATTACATATTATTCACAAAATATACAAAAAATATTCAACTATTTATAAGTTTCCAAACTTAAATTACCAATATAAAATCTTCGGTAGACAACACCAAAATCACATTGCCTGACAATAAATAATAACAATTAACATCAGCAAAAAAAATCAAGAAACTCAATAAATGTGCAAAAACCATATGTATTGTGCAAAAACCACAACTTATACAATTCTATAAAACTCACCAAGATAAACTTAATTTTCATGTAACTCAAAGAAACATTTTGCCCAACGAAGTCGCAAATCATACAAATCATCTTGTGTTAATTCTGTTGGGTCATCAAATACCTATAATACATAAATATAACAATATAGAGTTAATTTTTAAAAATTCATATTAAGTCGAAAAATAAAAAGTGAATAACAAACTAAAGTTATTTTTAGTACCTGCATCCAATTCTCGGTTATATTAGCAGAGACAATATCCAACATATTTTTCATCACATAGTATCCACAATCACTATGAGATACTTGCAATATGTAACAAACTAAAGTTGCTTGACTGAAAACCATATTATTATCAAAGTAACTAAAAAGTACAACATCCAAAATTACTTAAAGTCATATCTCATTAAAATAGTACATATTCAAGAAATAAATAAGAGCTCAAAATATAACTCAAAAAGGCTCAAAACATAATCCAAAAAAGAATCTTAACTTAAAAGTAGTAACTCACAACTAAAGCACATTTGCATATTATCATATTGTTGCAGCTCTTGCTTGCTCAATAATTCACTTAAATCTTTATCAAGAGAAAAGCATTTCCCTGTGCCCTGTTGCAACATTCATTTATTAGATATATGCAAATATTAAAGAATGCACATTAATTTAAGAAGAAAAAATTACTTTAATAGAAAATTGTTTTAAAAGTTCCAATTACTGCGAATATCAAAAGTTTAACACTTTAATAGAAATATTTTCTTCTTAACTGCTTTTAACATTTTTAATAGCTACAATTATTTTGTAACGGCATAATGTGGATATTTTAAGAGCTACACCATTTATAGGTAATAATATTGCTACTGCTACAAGTTGTAAGTTTTATTAGTACTAGTAGTACTGCTACAAGTTGTAACATTTATAGGTTATAATACTGCTACTGCTACAAATTGTAAGTTTTATTATCACATACAAGTTTTAATTAGAAGTGAAAATAAGTATACTGTTATTGCTACTAGTAATACTACTACTAGTTTTATTATCACATACAAGTTTTAACTAATAGTGAAGACAAGAAATGTATGCAGAGACTGTTTTATCAGTATAGTCTTAAAAAATTAAATAAAGCAGTGTTGCATATTTCACTGAGATAACAACTTTAAGGTACCAATTATGCTTCAATTAACCAGTAGTCTAAAAACTAAATACGCATTAGTTATTCAACATATAAGGAGGAAGTCACCTGTTTCACATCTCTCAATGCTATTAGGTTTCGACTGCAAGATCTTCGACACCATTCAAATCGAACATTTCTTATGAAATAAAAGAAACAATGTTATAATAAAAACAAAAGATGAAATTAAAATCTAAAAATTAAGATATAATTAGTATCTGTTTCAATTTCCACCACATCAAATACTTCATTTTCATCTAAAACAAACGAATAGAGCCACCGCGGTCGAAGACGACGACCAGAAACGGCGGAAACACGAACGGAAACCACCGCGGTCGAAGAGGACGACCGGAAACGGCGGCCGAAACGGCGGCCGAAACGGCGACCAAAGAATATTACCGAAAATGGGTTTTACCGCAGCGACTTCTTGGCCGGTGGTTAGAAGGCGGATCGTGGGTGTCGTGCAGTGAAGACGGTTGGCAGTCGCGGTGATGGTGATGAAGACAATCGGAATCGGGCGGTGATGGTGATGAAGACAGTCGCGGTGACGGTTGGCAATCGGAATCGGGCGGGCATGCAGAATCGGAATCGGAAGCGAGGTTGAGGAAGACGGTTTTTCAGAATAGGGCGCGGCGCGATGGAGTGGTGGAAGAATAACGATGGAGTTGTAATTTTTCTACTGTTTGGGAAATAAGGGTTTGGCAAGCTTTTTTTTTTTTTACAATGCACCTATTACATCGGTGCATGTAATACCCGATGTAAGGGTTGGCAAGCTTTTTTTTTTTTACAATGCTCCTATTACATCGGTGCATGTAATACCCGATGTAAGGGTTGGCAAGCTTTTTTTTCTGACTTTTTTTTTACAATGCACCTATTACATCGGTGCATTGTAATACCCGATGTAATAAGTTGCAAAAAAATTAATTTATTCTTTAATTTATTTTTTATATTAATATTTGTTGTGAAGATATTACATCGGTGTTTAGTCAACCGATGTAATATGTTGCATGTTTTTTATTAATATTTCTACTACCTTGTTTCTTATTTACAAAAATGCCACCGTGTTTTTTTCTGAAAACTTTTTACATCGGTGGATGCGTTTGCCCGATGTAATAGGTAGCGAAATATATTTTTTTCATATTTTTTATATCATTGCAAATAAATACCTGATGTAAAAAGTTTGTTAATTGTATTTTTTACATCATATATTTTGATACCCGATGTAAAAACTTTTTCTCAAATGTCTTTTTTTTAGTAGTGTGGACACCAAACTCAATTACCACAGCATCGACTACTAGAGAGATATGATTGAAAATTTGTTAGATAACAATAATATCTCAGAACCTTCGCACCAAACTCCTCAGACTCAGGCTAATACTAAGAGACTCCAAGGGCATAGGTCGCCATGTGGAATCGGTAGGCGTTTGAATCGAGCGGGTCGTTAAAATTCTCTCAAATCTTTGTGTAATTTTTTTGGGGAATAATATTATAATTTAATTATTTCTATTTAATATTTTTATTATTATTTTTGTTGTTAAAATAATTATAAAAAACAAAACAACGTAGGAGCTGGAAGAAATGTCACATGTTCTTAATGCTTAAACGCATGCGCTATTGTCATTGACATGATTCATGAGCATGCACCACAAACAATAGGATAAAAAAATTTAATTTGATTAGTGATTAGCTTGCTAAATTTGTTAAAAAGGTGGTTATTTAAGTTTTTCTAAATGTGGTTATTATAAATAAAAAATCACAAGAGAAGATACATAGAAGAAAAGGCATTGACGGACCTGGTAGTAGAAAACGCGTGAGTCGCTTAAAAACTAATAAAATCTAAACCTTTATTAAGCGTCTTGCCTTAAGACACATAACTCATTTTGAGAAATACAATGTTTTCAAAACATTTTTCTTTCTTCCTTGTTGTCCTTCTCTTCTTCCCTCTCACATCTCCCTCTTTTGCAGCAGACACCACTTCTTGGGTAAAAGCAGGCTATTACTATTCCGGCAATGAAATTTCAGCTTCAGAAATTAAATCAACACTTTTCACACACCTCTTATGTGCTTTTGCTTTTATAAACTCCACAAACTACAACGTCTTTATTAATTCTTCTGAAGAACACAAGTTCTCCACCTTCACCAACTCAGTAAAGTTTCAAAACCCATCTGTTATAACTCTTCTATCAATCTACACCGGAGGAGAAAACTCTTCAGTTTTCAACTCAATGATAAACCGATCTTCTTACAGAAAATCGTTCATTGATTCTTCCATCAAAACAGCGAGAAAATATAGGTTTCAAGGCATAGACCTTTGTGGAGTCTTACCAAAGCAAGCTAAGGAGCTTGCAAATTTCGCAACCCTTTTGAAAGAATGGCGAAACGCGATAACTTCTGAGGCAAGAAACACTAAGAAAATAGAGTTAGTGTTGGTGATGGCAGGTTATTATATCAATGCATCAGATTCATTTAGTTATCCATTTGAATCAATGCAGAAGAATTTGGATTGGGTTCATTTTGTTGCATATGATTACCATCTTCCTGATCAGGAGAGTGTCACAGGTTTTCATGCAGCTTTATATGGTTCATCTGGTTGGGAAAACACTGATTCTGGTATCAAAGAGTGGAGAAAGAGAGGGTTTTCTTCAAACAAACTTGTAATTGGTTTACCTTATCATGGATATGCATGGAGACTTATGGAACAAGGTGAAGGGGGTGTTGGAAAACCAGCTTCAGGTCCTGCTATTACTAAGGATGGTTCTATGGGTTATAAGTGGATAAAAAGTTACATTAAAAGCTTTGGAGATGGACTAGTTTCAAACTATAATGATACTACTGTGGTCAATTATTTCACCGTTGCTTCCATTGCTTGGGTTAATTTTGATGATGTGGAAGCTATTAAAGAAAAAGTTTCTTATGCAAAGAAAAATGGATTACTTGGTTACAATGTGTTCCAAGTTGGGAACGATCATAATTGGGTCCTTTCAATGGCAGCAGGTAAATTTTTTCTACTTTTTTTTGAACTCTTTACTTGCTTTTCACTTTAGAAAAGTTTCTTAATATTATTGACTTAGTCAAAGGTCATTGACTTGGTCAGAGTTGATTTAAAAATTATTTGTTATTATATACTCGTTTATTAGTCAAGAGATTTTATAAGTTGAAGATTATTAGAGTCCTCTCTCATCCCCCGAATAATGTATCTATTTATAAATATATTTTTAATTCATATTTGATGATGTTGTGTCTAACAATAAGTACAATAGAGTAAATCCAAAATTAAAAGAAAGACAATTTAACTATCTCTAATAATAAATAATCACCTGAATAAATTTTGACTTATTGAAGTTGGTTTCAACTTATTTGTATAAACTTGTTAAGATAGTAGACTAAATTTAATAGGTAAATTAGTATCACTATTTCGTTAAGAATTCAATCCTAAAATTAGTATCACTATTTCGTTAAGAATTTAATCCTAAAATTCTCTATTCGTGTCTTTTCAAAGGTGAGTTTATTTTTTTAAAATGATTTTTATAGTATTATATAATTTTTATGTAAAAAAATTTATAAATTATTTTTATATAAGTTTCAAATGAAAATTTGTTTTAAATAGTTATTTTTAAAATGTTATTTTAGATACTTTATCTCTTTTTTTTTTGAAAATAAAAATTTAAAAAATTATTTAATTTTGAAATTATTTCAAATACATTTTTATAAAAATTATTTTAAAATATAATTTTTTGAAAAAATTGCAATTTTGATTATGTTTATGATATAGAATGTTAAAATTAGTGTTTCAATTTAGAAAAAATAAATATAAAAATTTTGTAATATTTTGAAAAACAGATCTATAAAATCTATTTTTTAAAATATAAAGAAAAAAAATCTATTTTTTAAATCTGAAACAAACATGCCATAAGCTTCTCCCAATAGAACCACTATTTCTTTCCTCTTTTTTCATACTAGTAAGTTGAGCCAAAAAGTTCTCCATCTTGATCACTTGAATTTTTTAGACATACTTATGAAAATCTCCACCTTAAATCAAAATTATTGGTGATGTCAATTTATCCATCAACCACCTTATTGCTCTTTCCAATGCTTCAATCCTTATTCAACCAACTTGATCAAATTCAAACATATTTTAGGCCTTGGTTTAGCCACTTGCATCCAACAAGTTTTTTTTTTGCTTAAGTAGTCTCACAAGCCTACATGCATAAATCTTCATCAGCAAATATCTTTTACCATTACCTTCCTTCAACAATCTTTGACTCTCTATTTCTTTTGAGTGTCTCCCTAATGGTTTTACGTTCTTAGTTTTGCAATCCTTAAATCATATTCAAATCATAACAATCAAGGTTACTAACATTATTCCAAAGAGAAAATTTCATAGCTATTACTTAGTACGGCCACATAATCAACAGAGGTAATATATGTTCATTAGAAGTCTTTCATTTAAAAAAAAAATTAAATTACATATAACCATGATCATAATTAACAACTTATGTGATATGTTAAAAGTGGCATGCTTCAAAATCCAACACCCGTAATTTTTGTGTTTTTTTTTATAGTAAAAATGTGTGATCCCTTAATTTATAATTTTAAATAAAAATTAAAAAAATGTCACTATTGTCCAGATTAACAATTGTGGTGAAATATCAGGACAAATCATCATTGTTGTATTTAACAGTCGCTGTGAAATATATTATCTATATAAGTCAATGTAATTCACTTTAGAACAGACAATGTTATAAGTATGAAACCCTAAATTCTCTCGCCCTGTCCCAATCTTTCAAAACTGTTGGAATTAAACCTCAATCTTAGAGATAATTTGAATCAATCTTGATGAACAAGAATCAATCTTTTTAATTGATTGCACCTCTTGTTCTTCACTCTTCACTCAAATGAATCAACCACACCTTGTTTGCAAGATGATTCATGTTGCACAATAATTTTGAGAAGAAAAACATGAATTGGGAAAGAATAGAGAAATTAGGGTTTGAGAGAAAAAGGGGAAGAAGAAGAAGATTCTGTAGAGTTTGTCTCTGCTTTAAAATTGAAATTTTATTAAACTTTTCTTCACTCTTTACAATGATAGAGTACCTCACTATTTATAGCTGAGTTTGTTTGTCCACAAAGCAAACTCTAATTAACTAACTAACTAACTCGGTTAAAACATATAAAATGCTAAGTTTAATTTTGTCGAGGCTAGCTCCTTAGACATTCTGACACCTTTCTTCGACACACAAAGAATTCGACAATAACATAATTTGTCGAATTACTTGCTTTGACACAAAAAATTACACTTTCAACACAACACCTAATTCATTGTTTCTAGGCTATCTACATTCATCATGGTTCTGAATTTCTTGAACAGTTCGACCTGTACACCCTTTGTCATGATGTCTGGAATCTATTTATCAACTATGAAGTGTTCCAAGTTCAGCTTCCCAGTTGCTACTTGCTCTCGAATATAATGGAATCTCATCTTGATGTGTTTGCTTCTACCATGTGTTATTATATTCTTCGCCAGAGTGATAGTAGGCATGTTGCCAACCTTCATGGTAATAACTTCATGACTCTTTGATGCGATATCTTTGGTGCGATCTCTTTGATGTGATCTCTTTGGTCAAATTCACCATCTATATTGCTTGACATGCATAAAGAGAAGAAACTATGTACTTTGTTTCATACGATGATAGTGCTACTACTAGTTCTTTTCTTGATCTCCAAGCAACTAGTGCACCACCTAGCATAAATACATAACCAGCTGTGGATTTTCTATCCTCAATATCACTACACTAACTCGAGTCAGTGTAAGCCACTATCTTGCATTCTTTTCCTTCATCAACTGCAAGAAACAAAATACCATAGTCGAGAGTTCCTTTGAGATGCCTTAATATACTCTTAGTATCTGTGACATGAGATACATTTGGCCTCTGCATAAATCTACTCATCATACCTACATTGCATGCTAGGCTAGGCCTAGTGTGACAAAGGTATCTTAAAAATATAATAAGTCTTTTGTTGTGTTAGGTCGACATCATTTTCATCTGAGTATTATTGACAATTGCAGCCTTGGTTTATCAGGTGTCAAAGTTGCATTGTAGTCTTCCATTTCAAATCTTTTGAGTTTTTCACTTGCATATCTTTTTTGATGCATTATCAGACCTATACTACTCTTGTAGAATTTGATACCAAAGAAGTATGAAATTTTGCATAGGTATGAAATTTGTAACTCCTTGCTAAGATCACCATTGAAGTCTTTGATCTTCTTCTTGCTGCTACCTATTATTAACAAGTCATCGGCATAGAGACACAATATAAGCAGTTCACTTCTGCTTCTTCTAACGTATACTTCATGCTCAATTGTGCACTTCACAAATTCCTTATCTCCTAGGAAAGTATATATCTTCTTATTCCAAGATCTTGGAGCTTGTTTAAGTCCATACAGAGCTTTATGTAACCGATATACCTTACTTTGTTGGCCCTGTTTCACAAACCCAGCTGGTTGTGCAACATAAACTTCTTCATCTAAGGGGCCATTCAGGTGTGCACATTTCACATTCTTCTGATACATATACCAATTGTTCAAGTTCTCTAGACCAACTACCAACCTGATTGTTTTGATCCTAGCAACAGGTGCAAACACTTCATCGAAGTTGATTCCTTCTTTTTGAAGAAACCCTTTCGCCACAAGTTTTTCCTTGTATTAAGTTGCTTATCCTTTGGTATTCAGCTTCACCTTGTATACCCACTTCACATTGATTTCCTATTTGCCTTGTGGCAATTCGTCTAGTGACTAAGTGTTGTTGACTTTGATGGACTTTGGTTCCTCATTCATCGCTTGCATCCACTTCGAGTCCTTCAATTCCTTAGTTACATTGACCGGATCGACATCTATATGGAAAACATAGTAAACAAGTTCATCTTCATCATCGATCACATCATCTCATGTAATCACACTTTTACAACCTTACAGGCGTGTTTCTCGTTCTTTGGGGTCTACTTGTGCCTGCTTGTCCTATGATTTCTTCTTGTCGATATTCTCTTTTGACTTCACTGGCGAGTTCTTTATATAAGATTCTTACTGAACCCTTCTTGACACTTTCAGTCCAGTCCCATTCCTTAAGCTCGTCTATGATCATGTCCTCTATTGATCACAATTTGTATATTTGTTGGGTGAAACAATTTATATTCACCATTCGAATGATATCCTATTAGGATCATTTGACTCGACTTATCATCAATTTTTCTTCTCTGCTGATCAAACACATGTTTATGTGCCATAGATCCAGATACCTTTAGATGACTGAAGCTACGCTTGACACTAGACCAACATTCTTTTGGTGTGATTCCTTCTAGCTTCTTCATCAGACATCTGTTCAGGATGTATGTTGCAGTCGACACAACCTCACCACATAATTATTTAGGTAAATTATTTCATTTCAACATACTTCTCACCATGTTCATCATGGTTCTATTCTTTCTTTCTGTTGTTCCATTTTGTTATGAAGTATAGGATGATGCCACCTCACGTATAATACTTTCCTTTTCACACAATGTATCAAAGTATTTCGACACATATTCTCCACCACCATCAGTCCTTATAGTCATGAGCTTTCGACCACTTTATCTCTCAAGCATAGATTTAAAATTAGAAAATACCTCGATAACTTCAATTTTCTTCTTGCTCAGGTAAGTCCACAGTTTTTTACTGAAATCATCTATGAATATGATAAAAAATTTACCTTCATTCGAGTCCACTTGGATATGACCACACACATCATAATATATGAATTCAAGAATTGCCTTCGAATTGCTTCCTACATCCTTGTTGAAGTTATTCTTGTGTTGATTTTACTGCATACATTCTTCACACACTTCAATTGGAATGTCAATTTATGGTAACCCTAAAACTATATTTCCTCTTTTTCAGATTTCTGATGTCATTGAATTTGAGATGGCCAAGTCTGTATTTCCATAGTCATTCATCTCTGCTA